ACAGAGTGTCAAGTGCACACGGCAAGCGATGAACCATGTGAACATGCGCCGCATCGCTACAGTGAATGATACTGATCAGGCAGTTGTCTGATGTGAATTGATAACATATGTATAAACTTATCAATCTCATCAAACAGCGCGAGAAAAAATGCCTCAATGTTATGATACAAACTAATGAGCGATCGTGAAATTTGATTTTCCCCTTGTCGGCCACTTTGAACTTGAGTTAGATTATTTGAAATAATCGTCCGAACTTGATACTTCATTTTAACGACTGTATTGTTGTATAAATTAGCTTGAACTCAACAAAGAGTAGTATCTATTATTTGTAATACAGATTTGACGTCCCTTCCCGACACATTGTCCCTCAGCGTTAATCACGCCAAGGTGGCAATTGAATCGGCGGCGTCCAGAACCAGCGTATAACACTGACATGCTGTCTCGCCACAAGCATTATTTGAGAATTGCGCTCAGTCAAAATTATCGACTGATGTATATTTCTATGACTTCCGGGGGGAAATCTGTAATACTGAGAAAATCTCTGTGACAAATGCTGTTTTAGTCAAAAGTATCAACAATCGCGATTAATAATGCAACACACCCTAATGTGAATCTGGTTAATTGCAAACATTAATGTAAAGTGTCTCATTAATAATAATTATATACAAATGAAATAACAGAGATAGGTAGAGAAAAAAAAGGCTGTGTATCCTGTCTCGGCAAGTTCACCTGCGAGCAAGATTTAGCGGGCCTAATCTCTTTCCCCGTTTGTCTGACAAAACAGCCTTGTAATGATGCTGTTAAAAGATGCATATTACTGAGCAATGAAAGAAGGCGAGCGTATTTTCTTTTGTGTGGTTTTCTAACCCGCACTCATCGAAGGCCAGTCTTTATTGAACGCGACAGGATTGGACTGCCGCGATGAAACGAAATGTTACAAGTAGTGCTGGCCTATTGTAATCGCAAAACAAAAGCAGTAAGACGGAAGTGACTAATAGAGTATCGCATTGAGTCTATTATTTCTGTAAATACAATCAGTACACTTATATTAAATTAAAAATCAAGTGATTTGATTTCATTGTTATAAATTAGTCAATTAATTATTAATTGTGTGTAACCTCCGCGAAAGAGGTTGTTTTATTGATCTCTGCAGTTATCTCGGGTAACACTATGCGTTGTGCCGTGCATAACGCGCACAACTAGCACATTCTCTCTTCTGACAATGTTAAATTGTTTGTTCATGGAGGTATACTCTATTATACCTGCATGGTTTATTAGAAATGGCATATTTATTAGATTGTTAACATTGTTGAAAATAATTACATATCAGGTCGAGATGAACGCGTAATTTTGGCAACACGAGTTGTTCCACAACAATATGCGTGTCACACATATTAATACCATTACCTATGATTACACAGTATGAAATGTATGCATTTGTAATAAACTCAATTAAAATGTAGATTTTAATTACTCGAATTTAGTCGAATTATTTGTGTGTGTGTATTTCCGCCACTTTTCCACCTAGTAGACAAGTTGGTGTGATTGAACGAAGTCAAGAGAAATGAAAAAAACTTAACCCCCCAAAAAAAACATTCGTGTCTGGTTAACGCGCACGCCATTTTTTTACATTTTCAGAAACAATACACTAATTTAATGATAGATCAAAATAATGAATACCAGTGCTAAGATGGTTGTCAATTTATCAAGATGTGTGACAATAGCTTTTGAAGTTATTTAGTACAATTCACAGCTTTTTGAGCATACAAAAGGACTGTTTTTGTAAATAAATGCCGTGGGTTCCTTTGATGCCGTTGTTCGTGAGTCAGACGTCTACTCTCATCGTTAGCACCTTCGCCGTATTATGGCGTGCTAATAGACGTTGAAAAAGAGTTTGTTACAGCTACGAATTCCCAGAGATGTTCTTTTGTTTGTGGCTATGGATACCCCATAGCAGATAGACGCTGTCTTGTAGTTTAAATATAACTGGTGAATATCGAGAAAAAAAAATGAGGATTAATCTTTTTGAATACAGTAAACACTAAAATAACATTTCAATTTTGCTCGGAAAAATCTCTTCTATCCTCGGGGGCGGAGCTACGTCACAAGACGTTCCACGTTGCTACGACGCGCACCACTGTACATGCATTTCTATGGGCTCTGTGCGCGCTTCTGTGGAACGCCGGTCGAGCCGGTGAAAATTCGAGAAAACAACACAAACTCAACTTTGAAGTAATCCCGAACAACCAAATTTATATATGTTACACACGTAAGGCTAATCTTGTTACACTGTTCAGAGGAGTCTCAACAATCAACCCAAAATACCGTTTTCCGCGAGTTTTGGGCCTTTGTTTTCACCGCCTCCGGTTGCCCGGCGGTGAAAATGCCCGGATGTCCGCCCCCGAGGATAGTCGCAATTGGCAGTTTTTATTTACAGGTGTATTTGACTCACAAGTTTACTGTTAATGTGTACCGCCGTAGTTTATTTTCACTCCGTTGACGGTAATCAGCCTATGGTGAATGCGCAGTATAGGGTAGAGGCAACAATTCGATAGTTCTGTGACATCCTTGTTCTTCCAGGAACATTGAATTAGGAGAGGGAACTCTTTCAAATCCCCGTCGAAACTAGCGTGTGACTAGTAATTATAGTGATGCAACAAGTCGAATTTTTGATTCTGCCTTGTTGGTGATGTGGCGCATTTTCTGGATGTCTGATCGAGTGCAGAACACGACCTGAGTGTGTGACAACAAGTTTTGCTTTAATATGCTGCGGAATGCATAAGCTGATTCCGCCGTGAAGGGAAAAACAAAGGACGGGGAATTATCCCCTGTGTTAATTACCCTAGCTCACCAATGCCGATTAATAGGATAAACGCGATAAGATGAGAACATTTAATTAAATTTAAATCAAGCGACCAATCCAATTAATTTTGACAAATAGTTTGAAATAGCTTTAAATCTAAAAGAATTGTGATCATAAATGGTTGCCTCTAATGTGTAAGTTCGGTTGAGCTGTTATCGGGTTTACGCGATCTCAGTGTGTGATGGATTCGGAAAGTCTCGCACATTGTGAGACGATAAAGAACTGGTTAGCGGCAAGGTGTGATAGCCGTGTTGTAAACCTGGGCGTAAATTACGTTTGGAAATATGCATTAGGTACTTTCGAGTTGAAAAGATGGTGCTAATCGCAGTATTGTGAGAAAGTGGAAGTGGGAATGAGTTGAAAAGAATCAATAATTTGTAAACTGACTGCCTTCATTGCTAAGAATAGTCTAAGACTTCTTATAGATGCAAATTGGACAAACCGCGTATTGCTCAGAGAATGGGAGTTTGTTTAGACCCTCGTTTGAAGTGGTATTCCGTTTAGATAGACGCAGAATCGCTGAATAGTGGTGTGCATTTCAGTCGACAGCGCACATTCACACGTCACAGCAGGAGAGTGAAATGGATTAGTGCTATCGGTTACACTGAGACGACTAGCGTGCCGACATTTGATATCAGCCATGATGAGCCATTATCTCTCCATCCTCAAGTTGCGTCACAAAATTTAAGAATTAATGTCAGAAAAACGGCACTGTTATCGGATATGAACTTCATTTCGTTTTGTTTTCACGTGCTTTCAATAAATTACCCAGCCTCTCATGCTTTTGGGTAAAATATACAAGAGAACTAAAGACATTAGTAGTGGGTAGTTTTAATGGTACCACGCTTATATGTAGTTGTTCCATGATGGTACAATACACAGGGGAGTTTGGAGGCGAGCCTGTTCCGGTATATCAATCGCCTAACTATAAAACGAAATCACGGTAGATATAATGATTTCCTTGGCGCCATCCAGTGTATTCAAATCATTTATATGATTCAGTGAATGAATCATATTCCATGTTCATTTCCCCCTCCGTAATTAACACGATTTGGAAGATTTCAACAATTGTCAGGTAACAATTGTCGTCTCACGTTCGTCGCGTAAGAGTTGTAATTTGTGGACCTTTCTGTATTTTATTTTGTTCACTCCAGCGACTTCTGTGTAGCAATTTCTTAGTTTTATTAGCTGGTTAAATAAAAGAGCCGACTGTACGGTGTCCCGGATGCCTGTTAAATGTGTTTACATTCACGTCAAATTGCATAGATATGTGTACACAATTCGTTCTGAAAAGGATTTTAATTTTCTTCTTCAAAAGAGACGCATTTAGGTAATAGGGCGCGCGGTTTCGAATAAATTGGCTCAATACATTCGGCTTTGTTTGGCTTCGTTTGGAAAACAAAATATTGATGATGAGGCTTTAATACGCACCTCTTTGAGGCTCCCGATCGCAATGTGAGGGTGCGTCCCTTCTCAGTGAATGCAACGGACGTTGCTCATCACGCTTGCCGAGAGACGTTGTCGGCCGTAATCAGCTGATTATTGTACCCCACCGTCACTCAAAGCACCATTGAGCACGCAGAATGCGAGTCAATTTGTCAAACCATTTGACGAGAATCGCTGTTTATATGTTGAAACGAAGCGTATTGGACGACTCGACCGTGTCAATTGTCAAATTACCATCTCAGAGCAAGACAACCATTGGTGGAGCGGCAAGATCACAGGCCAGTAGCTGAAAGCAGTAGTGGCACGGTTTACTCGGAGATACTCTGCAATTCCTAATACTATGCCTTCAACAAACACAGTTTTGTTTTAACTTATGCAAAAGAGCGTTTCCTAGTTACCAAAGTATCGACAGAAAAACCTTATCCGATTTGCCAAGAAGTTCAAAAATTGGGATTCGATTTAGATAAACTGAGTGGCTTATTATGATAAACATGCGCCGTTCTTTGATGAATGCCATGGAGGTGATAATCACATTCATACGACAGCCCACTATAAAGTTCCCCCTGTTAACAATTAATGTAAGAGCCAATTAAAATTGAGCTCTTAGCGACTAGGGCTGGACTTTTGACGTGTCAGGCCAATTTCATTGACATCCTGTTTCAAATTGTAAATTGTCGATGACCAGCTATTAAGAATTCAAACACACTCATGATAAGAGCCCCGACTGTGAGCTCCAGTGCTGTTTTAAACATACTCTCTAGTGTAAAGGACACAGTTTCTATCGTGAGCACCCATTCATCAGTTCTCAGCCACTAGCGGGAAAGACTTTGGCAGACAGCGGGGACTGTATGAAACCGAACATCGAAGTTGGTAAGGCCATGCTACACTTAACCATGGTTGATACCGATAAAACAGCTACGGAAAATAGTCAAGAGAAGGAGTACCTTGCAATGGACCGGGAGATAGTCGACGTGACAGCGATGGAAGAGGCAAGCGTCTCAAACGACGAGGCGGAAATACTTAGGCCGGGTTCTGCGCACGCCGTATCGACAGTGGTGAATTCGCCGGCCGCTAAAATAGACTGTCCGCAAGCAGAACAACCAGCGCCCATTTCCGTGAACACTACTTCCTTCTCCGTGTCCGATATTCTCGACCCGAAGAAATTTAATGGTGTACGTTCTTCGAGTGAATCGAAGTCGCCTAATGGTTGTAGTAATTCCGGTAATGTGTGGCACCCGTGGGCTTCCCACCCCTCACCAAGTAGCGACGAGGAAGAAAGCTCAGATGGTAAGAAGGCATTTTTGTTGTTTGTCTGACATATAATCTATTATTTTATTCCTGTAAAAGTAAAACTGACTCAGCTTGCGTTTGTGAGTTCAATCGAACTTCGTTGGAGAAAAAAGTCCGTGATCGGACACGTCTGACACGCTTCACGCGCTGTTTTGTTTTTCTGAATTGGTCTACGACACTCACTTAACTGTGAATCATGTCTATCGATGATATGGGTTTGGACATTGAATAGGGTTTTTTTTGCCAATCGATTCACTCTTTTTTTGTGGCGAAATACTGCGAGTAACCGTGGTTAGAATGTGCGTGACATCCATAATACCAGACGTCTTCGATTTGTGGTGTACTGGTGTTAACTATTTTCGTAACACTGTACCCACACACAGTTTAAAATGTGCGTTGACTTCCGTCAAACACCGGTCTTCAAGGGTCGTTTCTTAACGCTGCTTACAAAACTTATAGAACTCGTTCGCATTCTAATGCCACTCTATTGATATCTCCGCTATCATTGCGGTGCGGATAAAAGTTGGTATAAAATTACGATTTAGTTGTCGTTTTAATAAGCGCATTATAGACGAAAGCCACTTTTTAAGTATTCGTTATCGGATTATAAGGGCAGTGGGGGTAGCAATTTTTAACATCGGCTTAGTAATGTAGTATTCCAGATTTCAACATATAAATGGAATTAAAACTGAAAGCATAGCCACTCTCGTTCTGAAAGGTACATATAGCAGAAATCAGAGGATGAAACCGCACATCTGTTTAGTATACTGTCATGAAGTGTACACAGCAGACACACTGTGTAAATATGCATCGAAATTGAACAGAATATATAACTTTTTGAATAACTATTAACAATCAGCACATCGTCAGGGTGGTGGTCGTGTTGGCCGTCTTAGTGACCAGCAAATATCCAAGATTTTGAACAGCATTAGCATATTTAACATACATGTGTGTTTTTGTTTTTTTTCGTTTTGTTTAGACAATCTGTCTTCTACCTAATTAAATTAATTGCAGCTGTTTCAGAACCTTGAGTTTCTATAAATCTTGTTATTTTGTGATTTTGGCCTTGTCGGTGGTATTGGGTTGTTGCATCGTGTAAGAAGTATAGTATTTCAGTTGAAGAAGCTCTATATATTTTACTGCGTAAACATAATTTAGTGTGGAAGGGCTACAATGAACCGTCGTTGTCACCGATCTCAACGCAATATATCTGCTAACAAACAAACAAATAAATAAAAAAATATTAATTCTAAGTTTAATAAGATGCCCAACAATATTTTGTTAAATCATTATGTGTGACAATTATTTTTTTGAAAATGTGCGTAAAATGAGTGCGTTATATATTTATAAAGTGATTTCCAGATCACTGAATCTGACTTTTGATCGACTTTCGTGTTCTTATTGACAAAACACGTGATCATATTTAACGAACACGAAATATTAATACTTGAAAATGAAATAAAATATGAAGTGAGTGCACCGCTCATGTATAAAACACGTGGTCAGGGGTGGACAATCAGTGAAATACAACGTAGCGCAACGAAACCATGGTTGCGTCGGATACATTCTTCACATCTGGGAGTGTGTATTTTTTTCATACTGTATTGCAGTTGCATCCGTCATTGTTTCTGTACTTGTTATAGTTTCTTCAAGACAGTGCTAACGACACGATAACTACGGTATCTAGTGAACTAGTGATTAATCACAAGACATAGCACGTTCTTGCTGTCTGTCTGTCGCTATTTAAACTTGTCATTCACAGTTCTGAAATAATCGAATGTTACGATTAATATCAACATGCATTTATTCAAATTGTTTCAAAGTCACGATGAGGGTGACATAACATTTATTGTAATATCTCTTGTCACTCTTTCGAAGTTAGATTAATTTCGTTCAACAGTAGTTGTAGTTTCTTCACTTGTGTGTCTTCACCCAAACAGTGGCGTTTAAACAATACTGACACAGGTAGAATTGATGAAAATGAAGCTACATATAATAAAGAAACAACTTCGGTTATTTGTGGCATAATTCATCGTAAGTGTGGTTTTTAGTCGATTGAACATTTTAGAAACATTCAATATTAACTCAGATTAGTAAAACGTAATTAGTAATTTTGTAATATTTGTTGCATTTACAGAAGAAAAATCACACCAAGACGATGAAGAGTGCGAAGATAAAATCATTGAAAAAGACACAGACGTCACAAAAACGTCAAACCACGACAAAGACGACAAAGAACCAGAGGATGAAGAAAAGACATCGCCAAGTAAAAAGAGAAAACGCGCTCACGATGGCACTAAGTCTGGGAAACCAAGGCGTGCAAGGACTGCTTTCACTTACGAACAACTGGTTGCGTTAGAAAATAAATTCAAGCAAACCCGATATCTTTCAGTATGTGAGCGACTAAATCTGGCCTTATCACTCAGTTTAACAGAGACGCAGGTCAAGATTTGGTTTCAAAACCGGCGAACCAAATGGAAGAAACAGAATCCTGGAATGGATGCTAACGCTCCCACGGTTCAATCGAATCCAATGCCAATCGGGCTTCCTGGGTATGGACCAGGGCTCATTTACGGTTCCCAAGTACACTATATACCAGGGGCAAGTGCAATACCATATATGTTGAACACTCCCGGCGTCGCGTACAGTCCATCGCACGCACACATGCACCAGTTTTACCCGACACATTCACAAATGGGACACGCCGGTCACGCGTGAGTAGCCGGGAATTGTGTCTTATCAACGCCGCGCAGTGATCGGACGAACGAACGAACCATGAATGGCTGTTCTATCGGGCCACCTAATCACAAGGTCCATATAGTCTGAAACACTTGTTTTATTTTATTTTCTATTTATTGTTCAATGAGGGAAAGTCTAACATTTCAACTTGGATGACGAACTCTGAATATCACGGTAACGACCCTTCCATGACAGGGCATTATTTAATCTAGAGAAGGTAGTAGTACAAATACCCAGACTGTAATTACTTTTACGAGAAACAAAAAACATATTTTTCCAACTGCCATTATAACATAATCAGTTTTCAGTCGTCATGATGTAGCCCATTTGTGTTTACATGTGTTTAATAGGAAGTATGGTTTCGTGTTGTACTCGTGATGACATTTTTCATCCTTGTCACGGTGTCAATCACAACCTAACAATCAATAATGCGTTCCGAAGTATTGTACATTCATTAGGATATAATACTGTTGATTGTTTTAATCCAAATTACATATTTTGGATAACTTTAAATCGGTTAGCTGTCTGTATATTTCCATGTATCAAAACAAGGCTGTCAATCTATATAGTCATCTCTAGAACAAATATGAACAAATGTTATCACCCACAAAAATGAACTCCGTATTATTATGCCAGACCACCTCTGGATCGAGTGTTTGCTCCTCGATGTAGTCCGCCGTCATGTTATATTATGTTGAATTCCATTTCTACCGTGTTTGTTGACAACCAGTGATTATTCTACTTAATAAATGTAAATTTTATCAAATATAAACTATTTCCTTTGCAATAAAGACTTGTACATATAAAAAACAAAGCATAGTTTGTTTGTGGTTTGTTACACTCGAATTGTTACATATGTTTTGAGTAAAGGGGTCAACTATTGGAAATCATGGGGGTGGCTGGAAGAGTGTGACCAGTGCATTTTTTTCGCGGTGTCTTCTCTGGAATTTTTTAATTTTTCTTGAATTTTGCCACCTATTGTTCCGGCAACACCTTTCGTACATCTTTTCTCTCTGTGTGTCTAGTTTGCATTTTTTTTGTTTTAACAAATATTCCAGCCAACCCGACACCTAAACAATCATTCCGCCGTGACGTTCATTTATTTTACGTACTAGTAGTATGCGAATACTAGTACTAAACAATTATACCACGACTATTGTTTTGAAGTTATGCGATTCTTTCAAAAATGTATAATTACACACAGGAAAGATTGAAGGTGAACACTGTTTAATGCGTCTCAACCTTTTAACGTTACATCGTGATTCCAATCCCAGAGGCTGTATTCCATACCAATCGAAAGTTAATACCATGATCGTCACCTACTGGCAATGATGACCACCGAAAGACGTATTTTCGTAACCTTTTCAAGTCTCCAATGACGTCGTTCCCTGTTACTGGCTGAAAGTGCTTGGTATAGGGTGAGAAAGCAATTCGAATCGTCGTTCAATTTTTAATTAGTTGGAGAAATTATAGAAGATCCGTTGCTAATGGCGGCCGTAATAGGTATCAATATTTTATAGACAATATAGATTATTCATCATACGGGAGGCACGTGACATGCCTTGCCGGTTACTCTCTTTGTATTTTTGTGTTCATGTTCTCATATCAAAAATTGTGAATTTGTCAAGCCCAGTCTGTTGAAACGGATACCATTGTTTAGATGTTATTTAGAATAACCACTAAATGTTATTCATCCACATCCGTAGTCTTATTGTATTGATTAATTACGGAAACCAACTGAGTTCCTAATAATGCATCATGGTTGGAGAGAAAACGTGAGAATAATCTCGGGGCACGTTGACCGCATCTTCATGACCATTATGGCAAGATTCACCCACCTCTTGTTATGTCCCTGACATTAACTCTCACGCGGTATGGTAGCACATACCCAATTTCAATGTTTTTTATATGTATATATTCAATTTATAAACATGATGAGAAATTTCTTCTCTAAATATAAATAAACTCCCCTGAACGCCGAAAATATCGTGTTTTATTTGTTTGTGTTGTTATACAGGAACACATCTTTTGGTCAGACATAACTGATATTTTTTCCTGTTTGTGTGTTATTTCTGATTCAAACGTTAGTCGGAATAATTCGAATAGGTGACCACACTTTTGCAATTTCAATAAAACGATGTTCCATCATGATTGTGTGAATATGAAAGTATTGTTTTATGAACGTTATTACGACCATCGACCTTTGGCACAGATCTGTTATGAAATTATATATTCAAACCTTATTGTAGAAAAAGCAGAGAGTACTACAACACGAGAGACCATTTTTTGTTGGTTTCTTACCATTTATAACGATTTCGAATATTTGTTTTCAAATCATTAATCAAACCAAGTTATGAGAATTTGAGACGTTGGGTGCTATGATCGTTTTTATATCAGTAACCGCTGTGATGCAACGACCTCAAATGTACTGCCCATTTATACTGAACCGAGGATACCGCATAATCGCAGGCAACTGAGTACAGACCGCTACACGTTAGCAGGCCACGGAACCATGTAACGCACACCATTGTCAATACATATGATATACGTGTCCAACACTGACACTGAGTGTCATATTTTCAAAAACTTGCAAATAGACGGACAATTTCATCGGACTTTGGCTGATCATTAATGTATAGGCCCCCGGGAAGCATGGCTAGGAAAATAGACTAACACGTACTGTTGATTATCGGAACAATGAAACTTAAAGATCGCTACTGGTGTATTGTTTCGTATCTACCAGCGGTGTTGTAACTTTAATGGAACAAGCAGAAACACGACATCAAAAACGTATCAAATGATATGGATGTTCATTCCAATTTTAAATTAATAAATAATTACGATAAATGTACATTTTTTCCTAGGGCCGCCGACTCGAACGCTACCCGCTCTTTTTCAACGGTCCGTGTAAGTGAGTGTCAGCTGCGCGTACGATGGTATATTCAATAATTCCGCGATGCAGGTATATCATATTAAAACCTACAACTTTCTGTTAAAATAAAGACCGTCTGAAAATGTTCAACAAATTGGGTTGAGATTAACAAATCCGAGTTTCTGTTCGATTGTGCTCTTGTCGGCATGGTAACAGCAATTGTGTAAAGTGTGAATCAAGTAAACAATGTCCGGGAGACTGAAGAATTGCTCTGCAATTTAAACAAGTTCAAGTTCAAATGGCGTAAACTAATTAGATTTAGTTAGTTTCTTATAGATCCAGAAAACATGTTAGAACACCTAGCGTCGATCCAGGAATCTCTGTACCGGTCCGGTCCCGGCTTTGCAATGGAGATCGATCGATTTTACTCTTACATCGATACATCCATGGAGGTAAAATTTAATATTGCCTCTATTATACAACAAACAATGTGCAGGCGACGCTTCGAATGTTTTTAACGTGAGGGTGCACAAATAAGTGATTTATTGAGCGCGTACTCCTAACACAAATCTAAAGATTGGTTTAAGTTAGTTCGTTTTTACATAGACACAAATAAAGTAAAAATAAATTCTGAACCCGCCCCTCGTCATCAAGTAACCATCAAATGACCTAGATTGTGCGGAGGTGATTCTATGACTAGACGAATTATAGTACATTTTAAACCACTTTTTAATGACGGTGATTTCGGCACAGTGATTTAATTTTTTAAAAATATATTGCTTTGTAAAAGTAGAAACGTTGTAGGTTTCCATGGTTACTGTGGCATGTATAATTTCACCCGACCGACGAAATGCTCTTGAATTGTAAATAAAGTATGAACAGGTGTCCAGGTACGCACAATTGTAGAATACGGTCGCCGAAGAAACTTCTAAGACGCATGCGCACTGTAAATCCGCTCGTCGACGTAAATCGTCATTACAAGGAGCTTGTCTGAAGAGAGATTATACGGTGAAATTGACATGAAATTGACACGATTATAGGAGTAAACGACATGGAAATCCGGGGAATCCCTAGCTGTCATTAGAAACGCTTGGTGAAATTGGCAAAAATCATTAAGGGCAGCGGGGTAAATAACACAGTGAGCCTCTTAATCCGAGCATTATGGATATAGGCACTTAATATTGTACTGTCCCGGTTAGATGATAACACATATTACGGGATGCAATCAACAGCAGGCATATTTTATAAGGATTTCCCGCTATCAATGATAGTATTCCCCTACGCTACATCAATCACATTTCAGTCAATTGAATTCTATAAAGTGATCGCCTCACGCCCGGTACCGTATGCAGTGTCATGAACGCCCATGGTAAAATTCACATTATTCATCGGCTCAAAGCGCACTCACTGTTTTCAGCCTTGTATATTGTGAGATAATAGTAAATAGAAAAGTGTTATAGATCAGTTCTAGATGGGATAAATTTAAGGACAAAATAAATATTGGATTATTGCATTCTGCTTATTTAGCGATCACCGCGACGCGAGCACTGGTCGTGTCTCCATTACACCAAGACGCAACTACGTCCGTCCGCTGGTTGCATTACGCTGATCACACATATACCAACGATACGCACCGTCATTCTTTAAAAAATACGTCGGGAATGTCAAAAATTGGGGGGAAGAGGCAGAGCATAATTCTTCTTAGGAATACAAAATTATAACGTTACATGAGATTTGTTCCAGAGACAGGAAACGGATTGATTGATCATTAAACGATGAAAATAATGTCCATAACTCACAATCGTATGGAAGCGCATTTATTGCGATGGATGGCAATCGTTGACACCATCGTGGAGTTTCAGCTGAAATATAAAGCCTCATAAGACAACCCAACACGTCATCAATTAATTTCAGACTTGTTATGGTGTAAGCATATCGCGGTGCATCAATCAAGGGGTAAATGGCACGTCAGACTGGTGATATACTCTCCGATCATTCACTGCGCTGCGCTTTTTAATGTTAGCTATAATTTTCCACAGCTTATGGTCGTTAGAGCAATCTTCAGACGCGATCACCACTACCAGATTGCAACAAATTGATAGTCGCCCAGTTACAGATTTAATGCGTAAATACACGCTGAGACCGACCAAGTATCAGTATCTACCCGTAACGATAAAATATCTCTTGCTTTGACAACTAATATAAAAATGTAATTTGCCTGATCACACATGCCACAATCACAGTACTTAATTATATTGTTCTGTATTCAATAAAAAAAAACACACTTGATACTACGTGGAAATAATGAGAATATGCGATAATTAGGTTCTTTTCTTAATTACGATTAAATCCTCGACAATTGTACACCGCTAAACATTATAATTGCCAATAAGAATTTAATTGAAATCCATAAATTGGTGAATAATCTTAAGAATAAATTGAAAAAATATTATTTTATTTGAGTTTGTTGTCATTAGTAATTGTTTGTAGATATGGGAGTGATTCTTTATTTGTTGATTCAAAGCCTGCGGCAACTATTCTACTTCGTTTTACTAGTTTTCACCTCGCTGACTATGGGTTTTAATTTGACATAAACCGAATTCAGTAGTCGCTTGCGCCAACAATTAATATCCCATGATATTATTATAGAATTATTCAAATATCTTGAATCCATATATAGATAAATACCAGTATATTAATATCAAATTATAAATCTAATACAAACATGGTCTCATTTCGTTTTAATGCCTGTTTCAGCGGCCGTTAACACGAAAGGCATTGCGGCAAATCGTGCTATGATACTGCTGTTATGTACACTGTGATTACCGCAACTCAGTCCACTGGTTCGAATCACGCTGGATCGTTGAATCTAATAATTTTTTGCTGTTTTACATACTGCTTCGACTTTGCGTTGGTGCTTAGATAAACCGAATATCACCTAC